CACACAGCAAGCTTTCACACACAGCAAGCGTTTACACCAGAACACTTACGCACAGCGCTTTTACACATGGCAAGCGTTTACACACAAACTTTTACACAAAGACGCTTTTACACACAGAGAAGCTTTTACACACAGCAAGCTTTAACGCACAAAATCTTTTACACACAGCAAGCTTTCACACACAGCAAGCGTTTACACACAGGACACTTACACACAGTGCTTTTACACATGGCAAGCGTTTACACACACAGAAACTCTTACACGGAGACGCTTTTACGCACAGAGAAGCTTTTACACACAGCAAGCTTTTACATACAAAATCTTTTACACACAGCAAGCTTTTACAGAAACATGTTTTTACACAGAGAAACTTTCTTGTACATAATCACAGCAGGAATTGCAGCTCCAAAACCGGATATCGACGCCAAAGCGCAAAAAAGACGCTTTTGAAGCACTTTTTGAAAGGATTTTTAAAAGGAAAGCTACTAGCGCCAAAATTGAGAAAATCTGCTGACAAATCAATATCGCAGCCTTGATGCAGCCACTCCAATACTATTTACGGGATCCAGCTGCAAAAGACAATGGTATTACGCATGCAGCCGCAGCACCAAGCAACCTTGACGCAGCCACTACAATGTGATCTGCAGAGACTGAGTTGCAAAACACAATAGAACTACGCGCAACGGCGTCGGAAATTGCAGCTCCACAACCGGATCTCGACGCCAAAGCGAAAAAAAGACGATTTTGAAGCACTTTTAAAAATGATTTTTTAAAGGAAGATTACAAGCGCCAAAATTGAAAAAAACATAAAAAATCTGCTGACAAATCACTTTCGCAGCCTTGATGCAGCCACTCCAATACGATTTACAAGATCCAGCTGCACAAGAGAGTAGTATTACGCATGCAGCCGCGGTGCCACGCAACCTTGACGCAGCCATTACGATGCGTTTTGCAGCATCACGTCGCAAACCTGCACGTATCTACGCACGTGGCAACATCAGAGGACGACAGTCATGCAGCCATTCCAATGCGATCTGCAACCACAGATCCAAGAAACGCATAGAACTACGCACACAGGAACAACCAATCAAAAACACATAGAAGGAACCAATTGCGTCCGGAACGACCGCAGCCGCACCCGCCGCACACACAAGGTATACCTTTCATCGCCGCCTGCAGCCACTTTACATGGAAAAGTTCAAGGTTTCGTGCTCCGGGTTCCTCCCCAAAACAAAGCCCATGCAACATTCATGCAGCCATTGCAATGCATTTTGCAGCATTCCCTTCATCACCACTTCCCTTCGTCACCACTTCCCGTCCTCACCTTCCCTTCGTCACCACTTCCCTTCGTCACCACTTCCCTTCGTCACCACTTCCCTTCATCACCACTTGCCATCGTCACCACTTCCCTTCCTCACCACTTCCCTTCGTCACCACTTCCCATCGTCACCACTTCCCTTCCTCACCACTTCCCAACGTCACCACTTCCCAAAGTCACCACACTCGATCCCTTCGTCACCACTTCCCTTCGTCACCACTTCCCATCGTCACCACTTCCCTTCCTCACCACTTCCCACCACTTCCCATCGTCACCCACTTCCCTTCCTCACCACTTCCCTTCGTCACCAGTTTCCATCGTCACCACTTCCCTTCCACACCACTTCCCTTCGTCACCGCTTCCCAAAGTCACCACACTCCCTTAGTCATCACTTCCCTTCGTCACCACTCCCCATCGTCACCACTTCCCTTCGTCACCACTTCCCTTAATCACCACTTCCCTTCGTCTCCTACTTCCCTTCTCCTCTCCACTTCCCATCGTCACCACTTCCCTTCGTCACCACTTCCCTTCGTCACCACTTCCCATCGTCACCACTTCCCTTCCTCACCATTTCCGTTCCTCACCACTTCCCAAAGTCACCACACTCCCTGAGTCACCACTTCCCTTCGTCACCACTTCCCTTCGTCACCACTCCCCTCCGTCACCACTTCCCTTCCTCACCACTTCCCTTCGTCGTCACTTCCCTTCGCCACCACTTCCCAAAGTCATCACACTCCCTTAGTCACCACTTCCCTTCGTCACCACTTCCCTTCATCACCACTTCCCTTCGTCACCACTTCCCTTAATCACCTCTTCCCTTCGTCACCTACTTCCCTTCCTCACCACTTCCCATCGTCACCACTTCCCTTCGTCACCACTTCCCTTCGTCACCAGTTCCCTTCGTCACCACTTCCCTTAATCACCACTTCCCTTCGTCTCCTACTTCCCTTCTCCTCTCCACTTCCCATCGTCACCACTTCCCTTCCTCACCACTTCCCTTCGTCACCACTTCCCTTCGTCACCACTTCCCTTCGTCACCACTTCCCTTCGTCACCACTTCCCTTAATCACCACTTCTCTTCCTCACCACTTCCCTTCCTCACCACTTCTCTTCGTCACCACCCTGTGTCATAGCTTCTTTTTCTTTTGTTATGTATTGTTATGTGACGTACCACCCTTCATCAAGGTCAATTCCATCAGGTAAAAGTCATTCGTAACTCGGAAGTATTGCTTCCCAACTTCCTTTGATAAATATACCTACACACGTACATATATATATAGAGAGAGATGTAATTATAGGTATACCCGGTATGTCCTGATTAAAAAATCATATTCAAGCGTTCGCTTTTTTTACTCTTTTAAAAGGTCTTCAGACCTTGGGGCCTGGGTTTAAGTAGTGGGGGGTGGTGAATGCGGTGAGGGTTCACTTCAAGCCGTGTCGTGCTCTATGCTATCAATTCAATGCGAGTATTTTTCTTGCTTTGGTGGATTTGTGTTGAAATAGGAAAATACTTTGCCGTGGAACACCCCTTCTTTAAACAAGTGAATCACCTAGAAATTACCATGTTCATCCATTTTCCATAGCAAACTGTTAGATTATCAGAGAGTAACTATCAGGCCCAGCTACAGCGTGCATCGAATTTGGGATCAAGTCACACCCATGCAATGACAAGGCCACAAGGTGTGCAAAAAATAAAGTGCACATGTATGTGCGCACCAAAAAAAGATATATAATAAATAGCCACCGTAACACCAATAGTTTGATAACAACAACAATATAAATAATGGTGATGACATGTTTAGATCTTAATGTAAATATATCTATATATATATTTAGTTATTTTCTTTCTTTCTTTATTTATTTTATTAGCAATAATGTGTAAATATGTAATTATTTTTGCATATACATAAATATACATATATATATATATACATGCACATGTGTTTATTTATGTTTCTTTTTTAGTTATTTAAATGTTTTGTTTAGTTAGTCATTTATTTCTGTATTTATATTTGTGTGTGTGCATATGTGTGGGTATGGAAAAATACGTAGGTGAATACATACATTTCGGTCTTACAAGAGTGACCATGGTGGGAGTTGGCAACACCGACTCGTAACGGCCGATGATTGAGTGGATAGGAGGGCCCTGGCTGTCACCTATGAGGCTGGCACCTTTCTGATCCTGCAGATTTTCGGATCCCTGGCAGTGGAGGGAGTTATGGGTATCCATGTTGCTTATTGAAGGGGAGCTTAAGGAGCTACGAATAGAGTTCCCACGCTACATGATAGTTTTCCAAAAGATGTTCCGTTTTCACCTCTGGGTATTTTCCCACCATGTTTCCATCATTGAGACCCTGGCAAAGTCGACGCCCACTTGACTTAGTCCAAAAGTGGGGAAGATACCCCCACTTTATGGCCGTTTTACTAGGGAACATGATGAACCACTGGGGAGCACCCTATATTCAGACAAACTGATCTATTCCAAAGCACTTGAAAATCTAGCCAACAAAGTTTAAGGTCTAAAGCGCCATCAGTTACTAAGGTCTACAGCACCATTAGTTACTTTGCTTTGATCATTGTATTCCATCTTGCCGAAAAGTCATGAGGATGGTCACACCAGATTTTGGAGCGCCGATTGGTTTCTGCATGTTTTCATTCGTAGATCGGCCATGGGACAATTGCGGTTACAAACCAAAAAACAAGGGGGGGCCTGAGAACCCAAAAGCAAAACGACAGCAAACATATTTGAGTAACAATTGGTTTATTTCCCTTCCACCTCTTGCAGCATCTTTTTAGAAGATGAACATTATGGACGCATTCACTGCAAATTTCATTTTTTCAGCTCTGCACGGAAGCATTGAGTGACGGTGTGCAATAGCCAAGCAAGCTCATTTGAGCACGGTAATGCGATGGCGGCTGATTTCCAAATCAACCTCCGACACATGCAGTGGAAACCTCGCAGGTTTTTTTCAGCTGCGCACGGAATAAATGAGTGACGGAGCGCAATAGCCAAGCAAACTCATTTGAGCACGGTCATACGACGGCGGCTGATTTCCAAATCAACCTCTCCTTCCCTTTCCCTTCCTTTCCCTTCCTTTCCCGCTCTTTCCCTTCCTTCCCTTTTCTTTCCCTTTCTTTCCCTTCCTTTCCCTTTCTTTCCATTTCTTTCCCTTCCTTTCCCTTTCTTTCCCTTCCTTTCCCGTCCTTTCCCTTCCTTTCCCTTCCTTTCCCTTCCTGTCCCTTCCGTTCCCTTCCTTTCCCTCCCTTTCCCTTTCTCTCTTTCTTTCCCTTTCTTTCCCTTTCTTTCCCTTCCTTTCCCGTCCTTTCCCTTTCTCTCTTTCTTTCCCTTCCCTTCCTGTCCCTTCCTGTCCCTTCCGTTCCCTTCCTTTCCCTTCCTTTCCCTTTCTCTCTTTCTTTCCCTTCCTTTCCCTTCCTTTCCCTTCCTTTCCCTTCCTTTCCCTCCCTTTCCCTTCCTTTCCCTTCCTTTCCCTTCCTTTCCCTTCCTTTCCTTTCCTTTCTTTTCTGTCCCTTCTGTTCCCTTCCTTTCCCTGCCTTTCCCTTCCTTTCCCTTCCTTTCCATTCCTTTCCCTTTATTTCCCTTGCACCCACACCGTCCGCACACCACCGTTCAAAGCAGCTCGCTCCCCACGCAGTTAACCAACTAAACCAGAACCCAAGCATCGAAGATGCTTGTGGGAAAGCAACACGATTTAATTAATAAATTAGATACAAAAAATGCACGCGCCAAGCGAGAACCAAAAAATGCAAATCACCCTACCCCGTGTCTCCACCTATTCCCTAGCCCCACCCCTTTGCATCGATTTTATCGGTTAATCTACATGCGCACATAGCCAGCCGACAAGCAACCATTTTCCATCCCCCTTCTCCCCACCCATTTCCAGCCACTCCCTTCCAACCACGCCGTCCGCAGCCGTCCGCGCAGCCAAGCTCGCTCATCCCCAGCGGCTTCTTCTCCCCACCCATTTCCAGCCACTCCCTTCCACCCACGCGGTCGGCAGAGGTCCGCGCAGCCAAGCTCGCTCATCCCCAACGTCTTCTTCTCCCCACCCATTTCCAGCCACCCCCTTGCACCCACGCCGTCCGCAGCCGTCCACGCAGCCCGCCGTCCGCAGCCGTCCGCGCAGCCAAGCTCGCTCATCCCCAGCGGCTTCTTCTCCCCACCCATTTCCAGCCACTCCCTTGCACCCACGCCGTCCGCAGCCGTCCGTGCAGCCAAGCTCGCTCATCCCCAGCGCCTTCTTCTCCTCACCCATTTCCACCTTGCACCCACGCCGTCCGCAGCCGTCCGCGCAGGCAAGCTCGCTGATCTCCAGAGGCTTTTTCTCCCCACCCATTTGCCGTCCGCAGCCGTCCGCGCAGCATCCCCAGCGGCTTCTTCTCCCCACCCATTTCCAGCCACTCCTTTCCTTTCCCTTCGTTTCCCTTCCTTTCCCTTGCACCCACACCGTCCGCACACCACCGTTCAAAGCAGCTCGCTCCCCACGCTGTTAAACAACTAAACGAGAACCCAAGCATCGAAGATGCTTTTGGGGAAAACAATTATATATAGTCCATTTACCAACTAGCAAACTAACTCCATGGGCCATCAAGCAGATTTCAGTCACCATCGTCGTGGGTGAAATTCCTCCGCCCGTTTTTGTTCACACCTTGTGATCTTGGACTCTACGTTCTTACTCGCTACCTTCCCAAGTTGTTGTGGTAGAGCCCTCAGTTCATGCGATTTTAAATCTTCACCATTTCGTGCGAAAGGATTGTCGCGGCACACTCAAAATGGCAATTTTACCACAGTTTTTGGCGATCGAATTTCATTTCGTGCGAAAAGGTTGTCGCGGCACAATCAAATTCGCATTTTTACCACAGTTTTTGGCGATCGAACTTCATTTCGTGCGAAACGGTTGTCGCGGCACACTCAAAATCGCAATTTTACACCAGTTTTTGGCGATCGAACCTCGTTTCGTGCGAAAGGGTTGCGTTTCGTACCGTCTCGTTGGCACTGCCCCGCGCCTTAAGAATCCCGGTCAGAATTTCCACTACAGAATGCTAGGCCTTGGGGCCCAGTATAAACCCTCTGGGAACCTATGTTTTTATACTCCTCTGTGTCGTTGTGCAGAAGCAAATCGTAGCAGTCGAGTTTGTAGTAAGGATTTTTGATCGGTTTTGTACGAGCGTTTTTTTTTCAAAAAACATGTGCATTTACAATGGTAACTTGTAGTGGCTTTCATGATTCTATCACATGTAGCAACATGAGACTTCATATGTTCTCATGACCAATTCGTAGTGAACCCGTTGTTTCACTCGGAATCGAACAAAATCAACGCAGCGCACAATACAATAGCATCGGGGTGGATATTTGAGCTACAAAAAGGGTCAACACCTACAGCGTGCAATCGGAAAATTTACTCAGCAACTTGAAGCAGTTATCAGCGTTGGTTGTCAACAAAAACTTGCGCACAGATTGGATGATTCTGCTGCAACGTTTTTTGTAGCGATTCAAATTGTACCCATCCACTTCGTAGCAGTTTTTCATGTTGGTTTGTTTTGCGAGGGTTTGCAGCTGCTTTGTCTTGCTGCATTTTTCTTAGAGCAAGTACATAATTTGATACAGCTTTCATTTTGCTGCCTTTTTGCAACAAGTACTTTCCTGCCGTGGGCTGGCTCTTGCTGTATTTCTTACTGACGTGTTCATTTATAAAGCGCTGTTGTCAACACAAATTTGGACACGGAGTGGATTCTGCTTTAATGTTCTCTGTAGTCATTCGACTTGTTGGTTTGTTTTGGGAGGGTTTGCAGCCGCTTTATCTTGCTGCATTTTTCTTAGACCAAGTATATAATTTGATCCAGTTTTCATTTTGCTGCATTTTTTCAACACGTACTTTCCTGCCTTGGGCTGGCTCTTGCTGTATTTCTTACTGACCTGTTCATTTATTAACCTCTGTTGTCAACACAAATTTGGACAGAATGGATTCTGCTGCAATGCTTTCTGTAGTGATTCCACTTGTACCCATCCACTTTGTAGCAGTTCTCTTCATGTGGGTTTGTTTTGGGAGGGTTTGCAGCTGCTTTGTCTTGCTGCATTTTTCTTAGAGCAAGTACATTATTTGATACAGTTTTCATTTTGCTGCCTTTTTTCAACACGTACTTTCCTGCCGTGGGCTGGCTCTTGCTGTATGTCTTACTGACCTGTTCATTTATCAACCTCTGTTGTCAACACAAATTTGGACACAGAATGGATTCTGCTTTAATGTTCTCTGTAGTGATTCCACTTGTACTCATCCACTTTGTAGCAGTTCTCTTCATGTGGGTTTGTTTTGGGAGGGTTTGCAGCTGCTTTGTCTTGCTGCATTTTTCTTAGAGCAAGTACATAATTTGATACAGTTTTCATTTTGCTGCCTTTTTTCAACACGTACTTTCCTGCCGTGGGCTGGCTCTTGCTGTATGTCTTACTGACCTGTTCATTTATCAACCTCTGTTGTCAACACAAATTTGGACACAGAATGGATTCTGCTGGAATGCTTTCTGTAGTGATTCGACTTGTACCCATCCACTTTGTAGCAGTTCTCTTCATGTTGGTTTGTTTTGGGAGGGTTCGCTTGCTTTTTTATCTTGCTGCATGTTTCTTAGAGCAAGTACATAATTTGATGCAGCTTTCATCCCTGAAGTGCTTTTCTTTTTCTTAGGGTTCTTTTGTTGCCTGTTGTTGTTTTTCTCTTTTCTACTGGAGTTGGTACCTGGAGGGGATTGAGACCAAAAGGTGTTCCAACCCTCAAAAATGTGCTTGGGAGATTGACCCGTGAGATTGCGTGGAGATTGATCCATGTACATTCTTGGAAGGAAAGATGCATCATGGTCACCATATACGCTACCTTTTGCTGTTTTTCTTAGTGACAATTTTTAGGGGCTACAAAATTGTAGGGGCGGGGTTCCTTCGACCAAGAACAAATGAGCAAACCAGCGCTACAAGTTGCCATCGGAAAAAATGGCTGGTTATGTTGGATGTTGAATATTGGGATGTAAAGTCACTACAAACTGTCCCAAGATGTTATGTTGAATTTTAGGGGTTTTTTATCGCGATTTAGGCAACTTGTAGTAGTAGACTACCTTTTCGATGATTTAGCAGATTGTAGTGAACAAAAAAAAACCTCAGGCCCCGTAATATGTAGTAAATCCACCTTAAGGCCGCAGGATTGTAGTCTACAAATTGGGGGTCCAATGTCACCCGGCTAATTCCAACCGGGATCCTTAAGAGAGAAATAGAAACGAAGGAGAGAGCAAGAGGGCAAGAGAGAATGTGAAGATGAGAAGATGTGAAGATGAGCAGGTGTGAAGATGTGAAGATGAGAAGATGTGAAGATGAGAAGATGTGAAGATGTGATGTGAACATGTGAAGATGTGAGGATGTGAAGATGTGAAGATGAGAAGATGTGAAGATCAGAAGATGTGAAGATGAGAAGATGTGAAGATGAGCAGATGTGAAGATGAGAAGATGTGAAGTGAAGATGTGAAGATGTGAAGATGAGAAGATGCAAAGATGTGAGGATGCGAAGATGTGAGGATGTGAAGATGTGATGATGTGAAGATGCGAAGATGAGAAGATGTGAAGGTTAGAAGATGTGAAGATGTGAAGATGAGAAGATGTGAAGATTAGAAGATGAGAAGATGTGAAGATGAGCAGATGCGAAGATGTGAAGATGAGAAGATGTGAAGATCAGAACATGTGAAGATCAGAAGATGTGAAGATGAGAAGATGTGAAGATGAGCAGATGTGAAGATGAGAAGATGTGAAGTGAAGATGTGAAGATGTGAAGATGAGAAGATGCAAAGATGTGAGGATGCGAAGATGTGAGGATGTGAAGATGTGATGATGTGAAGATGCGAAGATGAGAAGATGTGAAGGTTAGAAGATGTGAAGATGATAAGATGTGAAGATGAGCAGATGTGAAGATGTGAAGATGAGAAGATGTGAAGTTCAGAAGACGTGAAGATCAGAAGATGAGAAGATGTGAAGTGAAGATGTGAAGATGTGAAGATGAGAAGATGCAAAGATGTGAGGATGCGAAGATGTGAGGATGTGAAGATGTGATGATGTGAAGATGCGAAGATGAGAAGATGTGAAGGTTAGAAGATGTGAAGATGATAAGATGTGAAGATGAGCAGATGTGAAGATGTGAAGATGAGAAGATGTGAAGTTCAGAAGACGTGAAGATCAGAAGATGAGAAGATGTGAAGATGAGCAGATGTGAAGATGAGAAGATGTGAAGATGTGAAAATTTTGGACAAACCCCCACTAGTAGAAGAACCCTTCGCTCAGATGCCTGGGGAAAATTTTCTAAGAGGCTGAAACGTGTTTCTGGTTGTTTGGTCGCAGTTGCAATGCTTCTATCAAGTCTAGCGGGGAATAAACTTTTCAGCTTGCGAAAAGATATTTTTCGCATATTGCTTGACCAAGAAAGAAGAGCGCCACCGTGATTTGTTAGGCAAAGGTACGAGCCCAGTAATTCCTCAAACCTCCATCAACGAGGCAAGTAGAACGTCACACATGCGAATTAACAACAAGGTGATGAGGTGCAAATTATTCTCAAGTGGCCAAATAAAGCGTAACAACCTCACTGCGACGTCACTGGAATGATGATCGGTAGGGGTAACTATCCCAAAAGGGGCCTTATTTCAACTTGGTGAGGAATTACAATTTCTCCAGCTCCCTAGTTTTGATGGTTTAATCCCCATGTATGAATATATATATATATATATTTATTTATTTATTTTATTTATATATATCCCAATGTTTGTTGGTTCCACGGATGGTTGGTTGGATCCCCCATATACCCTCCAATCAAACTCGCCACTAATAAATGATTTTCCCATTATCCAAAATAACCTCCATTGAGTTCGGGGATTTCCAAGCCAGCCACATGGCTGATTACCAGAGGGTAAATCCATGAATATTCTATTATTATCGTTATTATCCCATTGATATCCCTGTATCAAACCGCATAAACCATATTAAGCTACCATTAAACCTCCATTATTCATGGTAGTTTTCATCAATGTCCATAGCTATTCTCCCACTGCTATCTCTATTCAACCATGTTAAACTACAATAATTGGTCATGTTCCATAGATGGGGCCCTTTGAGGATCTCTTTGCTTCATGCTCTTCTTGGTGAACGGCGTGATCCTGGTCTTTGAGGATCTGGATGCCATACCTTGGACCATAGCATCTTGGATTCCCAGGTCAACTTCTCAATGGAGGAGTGACTGTAAAATCCTGCTTAAGGGGAATGGTTACCATCAAAAATGGTGGGATTTTACGGGATTTAGCCAATCAAAAATGGTGATTTAATAGGATTTAGCAGCAATAGCAGTGATTTAATAGGATTTTGCCAGCAAAAAATGTGATTTAATGGTGATGTATGGGAATATCAGGGGAAGTGAATGAAGAAATGGTTTGGTGACAACAGATGCTTGGTTGACGGCCATTATATAACCCTATCCCCCTGCAAGAAACCATGGTTTAGGAGGAGGTTGGACAACATATTTGGGACCATTTTTAGGTGCTTTAACATTAGGGAGATTGGACTATTTGCACGATTGTTTCAAGTTGGATGTCTGCTGAATGTTGACTGTTGAACATATGTTATCGCTGACATCCCAAAATGTCATGAGTTCGCTTTATTCTGGGGATGTGAAACGTGGCGGCCTTATGATGGTTTATATATGAAAAAAATCCAAGCCCAAAATGGTCCAATTCCTATTGTTTACCTCTTGCTTTTTGTCTTTTTTTGGGACATTCCATTCTCATCCTTGGCTCAGTAACCTTAAAGGGAAATTTCACAGGAACAAAATGTCTTTGCACACCATCAAATATCTCAAATAGGGGGGCTGACAACTGTTCCAGCCCATTCTTGTGAATCACCCATCCCTCGGCTGTGGCACCCAGGAAGTTGGATAATCTACGCCCATCATTCCCCTATTGTGGCAACGGTTTTGAAATACATGGGTGCTCGTATGTACCTACATCCTATGCCGATCCTATGACAAGATTGTTATTTCGCCGCTGTCCCACTCTTTGGCTCCCTTTTGCCTTGTCAGTCCATCAGAAAATTCCACAATTTCGGGCCCAGATGCATTTTTACTGTTGGCTCCTGATTAGTGCAATGGGCCGGTATTGTGTCAAGTTTTTTCTCAAGCCATTTTTTCAACATGTTTTTTCAGTTTCTCATCTTTTCTCAGCAATTTCAACAGTTATATATTTTCAGGCTTTTGTTTAATGATTTCCTTGATTCATAAAGTACACCGGCAAGAGACCCCAAACAGTGAGGGGGGTAGAAAGCAAATGTACCAGATACAAGCAACTATAGCTATGGAACAGTAACAAATGAGCGAGACATTATCGCAACTTCAGCAGCAGGATCCTATATAGATCTATACAGAGGATCTTGCAAGATCTTCATACAAGAACTTCTTATGAGCATCACAGAAGAACTGTCCTACAAGCACCACTGCAGACCATTTTCAAGATCTTAATGCAGGGACCCCTTGGGGAGGATTTCAACAGGATTTCCACAAGATCTTCTCACAAGGACCTGTACAAGATCACATAAGGACACGGAGAGGATTTACCAGGACCTCTTCAAGAGCTTCTCGCAAGGACCTGCAGAAGATCATGCAAAGGCCTCTGACAGCATTTCACTAGGAACTCCACCAGATCTTGTCACAAGGACTTGTGCAAGACTTTGACCAGAATCTTCATGCCAGGACCCCTAAACGAATGCCACAAGATCGTCATAAAAGGACCTGCTGCTTCTAGAGCGGATCTCACAAGATCTTGATACAACAACCTCCCACAAGAGCTTTCATACAAGCACCTCTAAGACATGGCATCTGCAAGATCTTCATGCAAGATCTAGAGAGGATCTCACCAGAAGGACTTGACCAGGATCTCCACAAGATCTATATATTCAGAAGGACTTGCACAAGACCCTGATCTCCACAAGACCTTCGCATAAGGAGCTGTGCAAGATCATGCAAGGATCTGTTTTGTGTGAGCCTGCGCAATCGAAATCCACGTAATTAGACATCTCAGAGGGCGAAATTTTGCAGGAAAACCCAGCAGCGAGCCGCACCTTTTGCGCGAGCCTGAGCAGTCGAAATGCACATGAACATGTGGCAAGAGCCATTTATGCGAAAATTCTCAGGAAAAAAATGCCGCGCCCTAGACGTTAGCCGCGCGTTTTGTGCGAGCCTGCGCAGTCGAAATGCACGTGGACATGTCGCAAGAGCCATTTTATGCAAAAATTATCAAGAAAAATGCCGCGCCCAGACGTTAGCCGCAGCCATGTACGCAATAATTCTCAGGGAAAATGCCGCGCCCCAGGAACGCGACCCACACTTTGTGCGAGCCTGCGCGGTCGAAATGCACGTGGATATGTCACAAGAGCCATCTTATGCGATAATTTACGGAAAAAAAATGCTGCGCCCAGATGGAGCACCCTGATCAAGCACCGGCCTTTACTCCTATGAACCCATCAGTGTGGACACACTGCTTGGGGATAATATCTATCAAATTTAGCCAAATTAAAGAAAAAGGCATAAAGCCCAATTTAAAACACAGCACCCAAAAAAAAACCAAGGGGGTAGCCCATGAGCAACTCAGATTTCCAACGGTATGTTTGTTGTGGAGGTTTTCTATTGTGCCCTACTGTTTTGGGTATAGATGTTCACACATTCTTTGAACCTTTCCTTTGGTAAACCTGTGGTAACTTACTTGCTTTCATCGGAATCCTCAGAATGCCAAATTCCACCGAAATATGTTATCCCTTTTTCAAACTCAAAACCGGTTCTTATCAATTGATTTCATGTAGCTTTAAGAGGAAAATCACTTGAACGTGAGTTGAAATCAATTGAAATCCTTTCTTATCAACTGATTTCTTGAAGGCTTCAAAAGGAACATCAGTTGAAAGTAAACTCATTTCACTTGAAATGCTTTCTTGTCAATTGATTTCTTGAAGGTCCCTAAAGGAAAAGCAATTGAAAGTAAATTGCAATCCATTGCAATCTTTTCTTCTCAATTAGTTTCTTTAACGTTTAAAAGGAATAAACATCAGTTGAAAGTAAATTGAAATCAATTGAAAGCAAACTGAAACCAATTGGAATCCTTAACTATTCCACACTATTCCAATCCTGGCCCCTCTCAAAGTATTACCTTCAAGAGACCTCTTCAGATTTTGGGGGGTCTCCCTATACTAATCAAGATCCGACATTACCACACTGAATCCAACTATACCCAACTATACTCAACTAGTTCCCAATTCTTGGGTGGTGGAATCCCTTTTAAAACGTTTGTGCCCGCATCTTCTCTCACGTGTTCCACAGCTTCGCCGCCAAGGAAGTGTTCTCTGGGTTCCCTTTGCTCTTCATGTCGTGCCTCAGCCTGAAGGTCTCGGCCCATGGCGCCGCGTTGACGGAGAAGTGTCGCGCCATTCCGTCCTTTGTGAACCAAATCCCCACGGAGGCATCAGCGTTTTTGTTCGGGAAGTTGGGGTCGATTAGGAAAACATGGCTCATTTAATAAACGAAGCAGTTTATTGTTGTTGCCATGAGTAGGAATATTTGTCGACCATTTGTCGACTCACACTTATATATATATATATGTGTAAATGGCGGTATGTATATAATGATTAATTATATTACAAAAAAGGCAGCTAGAAACTATTTTTGTCGGGTATCCCAGAATTTACCATCAGTTGTGGTTGCATGCGTAAGAACCAGGGTGACAAAATTGGACAATTAAATTCAGCCCTGGGTTACCAAACCCCTGCGATGGTGATCGTTGAAGTATAATTTGAGTAGAAAATCCCCAATCCTTAGTTAATTTGGGTTCATATGATTCCCAATTTTTCAGTACCTTTTGGAAATTGAACATAGCTTTGGCAAACACCCGTTTCTTTAACGGTAAATCACCATAGCCAGTGACATAAACTTCTGGGGATTGCCTTGAGAAGCACGAAGATTGGTTTTGGGGAAGTATTGGCGTCGGGTTGCTTTGCATGTGCTGATACATAAAAATGTGTGTATATAGATATAAATGTGTATACATATATATATATATTATATATATATGTATATGTGTGTGCGTGTGTGTGTGTACACCCTTCCAACATAAGGCATGGTTGACTGAACATGTCCATACAACTCTGCAGGGGAATTGGGAACTCTGTGACTCACCCAATTCAACGAAGCTAGGTCACAGAGTTGGATATCTGGATTGGCCATCCAGACGTGCCTGCTTTTAAATTCCATCATCTTTGACATAGCTTCCAGGCTAAGCTCAAACCTGGCTTGCCGATTTCCCATGTCATAAAGAAAAATGATGTATGCAGATGCATGGGCCTGTCCGTTGTGTCTTGTTCATGCTTCGGCTACATCACTACCTTCCAACTTGGATGCAACCCCGACAAGGTCTACCAGGTAGGAATTGCCAAATCTTTTTACGTTAAAACCCTGCAGAACAAACTACGCGCGATTCGACGTTTGGAACCAGCTGCAATTCTTAAAACCAGTCCAGTGTGTTCATGTCGCCCCGGCTTATATAGCCCGGGGAGGCTCCATGCCTCTGTGTTGCAGGCGTAGTGTGCAAACAGGAAAGGTCAGAGACCCAGTTCAGGCCCGAATTGCCAACGCTGCTGAGAGGCAAGCAAACAAGGGCTCGCAGGCTTAGACAAATATAACCCTAGAAGGGCCTACCAAGTTCAGGCAGCGCCGCAGGTAGTCAGAGACAAGGAGAACAGTTCAGAAGAACACGTGCAGCGTTCATGCAGTCACAACCAGATTGCAGCTATATTTGCTTAATTAATGTTTTTTGATATTTGTCACCCTCCCTTTTCGGTGTTGTCCTTTTCGTGGGTGGTTTTTGTTGTTTTCGTTTTTTCAGTGCAACTTGGAGTTTGAATACTTTTTCTCTTTGAGTTTCTGTCCATGAAACTGCTGGGTTGTTGCGCAAGATTGTTGTGTTCCGTCAATGGCAGCACAAGAACAAGCAGAACAACAGCAAGCCATGTGGATTTCCGTTCGACGTCCCAATTTGCATGATTTAAGCCAAACCTGTTCAAAACACATCACGCAACGCAGTTTACTCTGTTTTGTTGGTAGCTGGGGAAAGCTGTAACAACAAACCAATAAGATGTCAGCTTAACCAGTGTAACGTAAACCCCGTCTGATATACATGATTCGCCGTGTCAACTTCGTCTGATGGCCACTGGGCAAAGCCGAAAAGACCCAGCATGGTTTGAGGCGTAAATTTCATCTGATGGCCACTGGGCAACGGTGGAAAATCCAGGATGTCAGTCTAGCGCGCAGATATGCACAGATAACTTGATGTGTAAATTTCGTCTGATGGCCGCTGGGCAAAGCCGCAAAAACCCAGGTTGCCACTCTAACGTAGATAGGTTTTAACGCTTAAACTTCCTGTGATGGCCGCTGGGCAAAGCCGAGAAAACCCGGGATGTCAGTCTAGCGTATACATGTTTTGACGTGCAAACCTTGTCTAATGGTCACGGGGCAAAACCAGAAAACCCAGGATGTCAGTCTAGTGATGTCTAGTGCGCACCTTTTACCGCAAACGTTCGTCTGATGGCCACTGGGCAAAGCCGTAAAGACCCAGGATATCCAGGATGCCAGCCTATGATGGCCACCAAGGCTGACGCAAAGGGCTATGTTGGCTTGGGTATGTCGGAAGCAAATATAGCGATGGGCTTACATGATATTGTGGACAACTACTAGAACAGCCGCAACTCCGACGCTTACATGCCAACAGTTGTGTTCCTGAGCATGTCCATACAACTCTGCAGGGGAATTGGGAACTCTGTGACTCACCCAGTTCAACGAAGCTAGGTCACAGAGTTGGATATCTGGATTGGCCATCCAGACGTGCCTGCTTTTAAATTCCATCATCTTTGGCATAGCTTCCAGGCTAAGCTCAAACCTGGCTTGCCGATTTCCCACGTCATAAAGAAAAATGATGTATGCAGATGCATGGGCCTGTCCGTGTTTCGGGAGTAGTTGTGTCTTGCTGATGCTTCGGCTACATCACTACCTTCCAACTTGGATGCAACCCTGACAAGGTCTACCAGGTAGGAATTACCAAATCTTTTTACGTTTAAAACCCTGCAGAACAAACTACGCGTGATTCGACGTTTGGAACCAGCTGCAATTCTTAAAGCCAAACCAGTGTGTGCTTATGCATGAATATGTTTGCATACACATATATATATAATATTTATTTATTTATATGTGCATACATACATTTGATGTTTTTTTGTATGCATGCGAGTTTTTGTGTTCATGTACAATCAGTGTCTTGATTTTCTACACAGTTCTATAAAGCATATGCATGTGCACCTGCTTAGTTCTTGGCTCTTGCGAGCATATTGAACTGTTTGTTGCTTGTTGTCGGTACCTTTGCTTCGTATTGTTGACATCTTCAGTTCAACAACAGGGTCAGCTGACTCTGATGACCCTGATTGACCCAAAAGATGGATGTGCTTTGCTTATGGACTACCTTTCTTTCCATGAAAGGTAGGCTTTGCCATACGCCGCAGTAGCCTAAAATGGTAATCTACAATGAAGTTGCAGATGTACATGCATAGGTACATGTATATGTACATATGTATGTGTATGTGTATGTAAATGCATACGCGCGTACATACATTCAGATATGCATATATATATCTATATACATATATCTATCTATCTATCTATCTATCTATCTATCTATCTATCTATCTATATCTAACGTATACTTCTATTTTAATATAAATATATTTACATACATACATACATTTACACTTACATATATTACAAGTATTATTTGCAAAGGTGCTTAGATGTGTACATACATACCTACCTACCTACCTGCCTGCCTGCCTACCTACCTACCTACCTACCTACATTCCTACATTGCTACATTCCTACATTCCTACATTCCTACATCCCTACATTCCTACATTCCTACATTCCTGCATTCCTGCATTCCTACATTCCTACATTCCTACATTCCTACATTCCTACATTCCTACATTCCTACATTCCTGCATTCCTGCATTCCTGCATGTCTGCATTCCTGCATTTCTGCATTCCTGCATTCCTGCATTCCTGCATTCCTGCATTCCTACATACCTACATGCCTACGTGCCTACATACGCACGTACGTACATACATATTATATGTATATGGGTGTGTTGTTTTATCTTGGCCTGCACACATTTGAGTGATGCATTTGCAGCAGTAGGTTTAATTATGCATGTAGATTTGCACTGTGTGTGATTTACATTGGCGTATGTATATACAATATGTAGCTATCAGTATGTTCACAGCACATGGTGACCAATACAGGTTTTATCACACATACATATTTGTATACGTATACGTTTGCTTATATATTACACGTTTATTTATTTATTTATATATATATATATGTATTTGATATATCTACCAGGACCTTCCAACGTAGCACTTTTTGTTGCCCCTATGGTCATTCGATACAGAAACCGACAACTCGATACACTTTCGCGAATTTCTGACCCGAACAATTTTCCTGAGTTCGACCTATTTTCTCTTGGCTACCCGAGCTCGACTGAAAACAGGAATTGTTTGCTTTGATGCGACACTAGTTCGAACGAAAATTTGCGCAAAAAAAACGCAAATATCCAAAAAAAAGTGCAAAAGGCCGCAAATTCAAAAGCTGTAACAAATCCAACTGACAATGGGGAAGGAATGAACCCCCTCGAGCATTTTTTCTGCAAAAGAGCAGTTTTTTGCAAACGAGCGAAAATCCACAGCACGAGCAAAATCAAATCGATACACAAATAAATGTATCATTGGAGGGTCTTGGTATATATTCAATTACAAATTCACAACACACACACATTTATATATATATATATGCATATATACGAATAAACATGATATGCACACATATCATTACAAATATATACATATTATGCGCTGTACTGCAAGCGTTCCCACCAACCTCAGGGGTATCCTTCGCCTTCGTCAGGAATCGACCGACCAGGAGCGGCAATACCTGGTCCGATACATCACGGAGCCCCGGCATAGGGGAAACCTGTGGAAATCATCAACAAGGCATGCGGTACTATGCCTCGGTTGATGGTAAATCTTTGGGATATCTATGCAGCAAGTTGTGGAGATTCACGTTTTAACCATCAAAGATGGTGATTCAAATATGGAAAATTGGATTCAAACCAGAAAAATATGATGTGTGTAATTGGATATTATGGACATACTACTATTCCCCCTGGTGATTTAAACATCAAACATGTTGATTTTGTCATGGGATTAAAACATCTACTGGGTTTTTCCTAATGGGATGGGGATCCAACTCAAGTGGTGCCCAAGTTGGGAATCGCTAAGTTGATTGATATCTCCAATTTCACTATATAAGGTTTATGATATATCGAACTAGTCCATGGGGATTATAAACCAAAAAAACAAAAAACATAATTCGGGGGCACCACCTTTATGGTGAAAGGCGGGGGTTGACACCCAACTGATCCAACATGTGAACGAAATGGCAAAGACCACTCGATAGACCAAATTGGAAGGTCGCCTTTGAGGAATCCGAAATCATCAAGGGCAAGATAACCTTCATTCTGCCCTAAAAACTCCTGGTTCGTGGTTTGAACTATAGATTGTGTTCAACCATATTTGGGATGACGAACCCCTATGTTTATTTGTCCACGGATGATACAACCTATGAGCAACTTGGTAGGGAAATCCATTCACTTTTTGGGAGAGAATCATCATGATAAATCTATGGGAAACCAGCCACAGGCTGGAGAGATTGGGACAGACATTATTGTCGCGCATGAGATTCAACCTGCCCGAGAAGCATGCAACCTGAGGGTGCCGTGTTATTTTTGTCGTGACAAAACCAGCGGTCAGGCCCAATTCCACCATGTCCTTTTCTTCTTGACTTGAAAAAATGAGGAGTTAGCCTTACGTGTTCCAATGTGTATCTGGAGTTCCCTAAAGTGGGAGTACCCCCAAATCATCATTTTTTTGGACTTCCATCAAGAAAAACATCCAATGGATGGCGACTGAGTCAGAGGTCATCCGCAAAAAACTCCTCGACGATCCAACTGCATTTCGATCATCTTTGAGGGGTCATCCGTTATGATGTGATCATCGAATATCATCGACCTAGTATTTATGGGGATATTAAATGATATTACCCTCTGGTAAACTAACATAGCTATGGAAAATCACCATTTTTAATGGGTAAATCAACTATAAATGGCCATGTTCAATAGCTATGTTTGTTTACCAGAGGGTAAATGATATTAATGGGGATTTGGGATTCAGTATGCCAATGGTCTCAGTAGCTTTGGGGATGGCCACTGGGGACGCCTGGTCGTCCAGGACAGTTCTGCGGGTTTCTACGTTCGAGATGTGAAGTTGACGCAGGAGATGGTGATGAAGCAGATGTACGTCGTAGGACAGGGAACGGTAGAAAGTTGAACTGCAATGGCTACTCTAGTAGTTATTCATGGGAAAAAAAACAACAATCTGGGTAAATTATACCGACCTCGTTGCGACCTCATTGGCAGAATGGTTAGCAAGGTGAATTATTTCACGTTCTTTCAGGTTAGTGAATTAATACAATTTCCCCAGAACAATGGTACTAACGATGGTTATTAACAATGGTTAGTAATGGAATGGTTCATTAACGAATAGGAATGGTCAACATGGTTAGTAGTTATTGTATAATTATAATGATTTTTAGTAGTGGTTAATATGGTAGCACTCATTACCGATGAAAAGTTGCCCTGGCAGAAAGAATCCAATAGGAACGGTATAGGACTGGTGAAAAGTTATTGTTAAAAAGTTGTGCCATCATTAATCATTATTAACCATTGTCAACCTTTTATTATCAAAAAGACTATTTGATGGTTGTTTCCTGTTTTTTCAACGTTGCCTTCCCCCAAACCGACGGGTCAATGTTGGTTGGTTGTAAAAGGTTTGTTAAAAAATGTATTTTTTTCCGACACAAGGGGAATATATGTGGATAAACCCAGCAAAATGGGGATTCAACCAACAGACTTGGTAGTACAGTTAGATTTAAAACCTTAATTAAAAAAAACTAACATTGTTGATTTTTAACAGAGAAGAGCGCTGTGAGCGCTGGGTTTTTTGGGAATGCGTCAAAATGCCTAATTTGGCACTTGGTTTTGTGGCATTTGGATAGGCGAGGTTCACCCCTGGAATTGAATTCCCAATTGTTTTACAACAGAGTGCCGGCCAGAGAGTCCGACATGAAGTGGAATTGGTATTCCGGGCTAGCCGATATACATTGTTAGACCTGTAGACAACAAATTCTTGCCTTTCAACTGAAGATTCAATGAATATTGCATGTTTAAAATGGAATTATTTCTTTATAAAAGCATTGCTGTATACATTGTCTTTTGACATGATGCTACACCTTCTTCCAGCATGACTGCCACCTCTACTGAAGAATGCATTTTTCCAGGGTTTCACGTTATTTCACAAGAATTGTTGCTGCACTGAAGGATTCTCCTTTGCAGTAAGGCTACATTTCATTAAAGGAACCAAGCATTCAATAAAATGCATTTGATTGGAAGTGAGAACTATTGGTCCCAAGAAAGTGTTTTTTTGTAGGTTTTTTCCAACGCTGGTGACGCTCACGTCTCATTTTAAAAAGTGGACCCCAATTTAAAAACATCCCCAACTAGTTTTTATTATTAGGGGATGAAACCCTCAAATGGGACCTTGATGTTTAAATTGCTTTCCAAAGGGGTGCAATTAAAAATCAAATTGACCAGCATGAAATGTCGCAAAACGAACAATCTGGGGTGATGTTTTTTATTTAGGGGAGATTTAGAGATTTATAGGAAGAATGGATTGTGTTATATAGCCAAATTCACCTAGTTAATGTGGCAAACGCGTTGCCAGAAAGATCCAGAAATCCCTTGTTTGGGTATGGTTTTGAATACCTTGCAATGAGTAGCTTTTTGTTTTTTTCTTACATGGATGCAAATGTATGTATGGGATGGAATTTTCAGTTTTGAACTGTTTGCATTACATTTCATCATACATGTCCTGAATTGATTTTGGCGAAATCCTTGTGACTGATTACATCCATGTGTTGGAAATAATTCATCCAACTGTTTGGTTCCAACTAGCTATTTTGCCGTCTATTTTGGTCTGGTTTTGGTGCCCCAGAACTGAAACTATACTGAAACCTTGTAGGAGCAATGCTGTCCGCCACCATCAGTGCATTGTCCAGGGCATTCATTTAAGGTGAGATGCCAAAGAATGCTGCACCGACGGCGGTGGCAAATACGCACACCGCGCACATGATTTCCATTTGGGGAGACGATAGTGTCAGATGTGCACAGTCTGCGTGCCCCGTTCGGTGGTTTGCATGTATCACGACATATCCTGGTTGGTGGTTTGGAACATTTTTTGTTTTTCCATATATTGGGAATAATGATCCCAACTGCCTAATATTTTTCAGAGGTGCTGAAACCACCAACCAGTATCATACTTGGTATACCAGCAGCAAGACCTGCTGTGGACACGCTGTTTGAGCCCTGGCTGGCAAAGCCACGAGTAGGACTGCGGCGTAGGTTGGAAAATCAAAGGGCATTTGTGCAGGGCAAAGGGTGGTCCTGTGGGGGCGCCTCCAAATTCCTGGAGGTGATTGAGGGAGATATAAGGAGAATGAAAGAGAGACCTGATTAGACATGTGTATATTATGATATATATATTTACATTAATATATATATATATATCATGATACTACATTTAATATATTTGCTTATTTATGTCATATGCGTTCATAATGAAGGTGATCTAACAATCCCATCCTCCGATCACAATACCCACCCCCGGAGGGGAAATGCGACCCAAATTCGGAGGAGGATGGGATTGTGATCGGAGGATGAGATTCTTAGATTACTTCCATTATATATATTATATCTCCCACCCACATCATATCCTTATCATTTAAATCACCATGTTCATCCATTTTCATTCAATAGTTAAATCAGAATTCAATCCCAATGTTTGATGCTTCAATCCCTATGCTTGATGTTGAAAAACCATTTTTTTTGTCTGCAGTTTTTAATGGCTAAATCATACTCCATCCCATTTGAAGCATAGTTTCATGAAATCCTATGAAAACCCATGAAATTTCATTAGATCCCATGAAATCCACTGTATGAATGCTGGATATGAAATCCCTCGGTGTGGCGAACGGCAGAGGCGGTCACCACCGTGGACGTGGATCCCCGCTTTGAGATCGTCGGAGATCGGGGGCCGAGATGCTCCGAGTTCCCCACGGAAAATCAGCTATAAATCGAGTGTTTTAATGGGAAAATTATGGGAAAATCATGGAAAAACAATGACTGGTTGGTGGTTTCGAACATGAAGTTTATTTTCCAGAATATATGGGATAGTCTTTCCCATTGACTAATATTTTTCAAGATTGTTAAAACCACCAACCAGATGAATATCATCTATTCATGGATTTGCCAGCTATATTGGGAAAATCCGGGGAAAGGATAGGAAAATGCAAGATCCACGAACTATAGCCGGTGAGTTTTCTGGCAAGCCGTGTTTTGATTCCAGAGATGACTTGGTTTTGATCCATAGTTGTGGATAACTGAAATCTCTGTGAAAGCACTACCTAAAATGGAAACCAAAGATTGAAATCCTAGGTTGAGGTTGAACATGGACCTATTGTTTTTCCCCAGTTAGGAAGTGGCGTGGTTTGCACCAGGTAATCCAGTAGGGTAAGTAGGGTACTTCATAATCCAGTGCTTCATCACCATTTGCCTTATCTAAATGGCATGCATGGCAATGTTGGGGTGCCCCCATGTATCCTTATTTGGTAGTTCACCCCAGGTCTCCCCCCAACCACCGATGAAGTGACAATACGAGGCCCGTACCATTCTCCAGTTGAATGCCAATGCCCAAATTTGCTTCATAGGATTACAACATCGCCTTTCCATCAACAAAGAGCATGTCTGGTTGGTGGTTTGGAACATTTTTTATTTTTTCCATAATATATGGGATAATCCTTCCTATTGACTGTCATAATTTTCAGAGGGGTTGAAACCACCAACCAGTTGCAAATTGTGCCCCAAACATCATCCAAGATCTTTCGGTTTTTCCTTATATATCCTCCAGGCTTGCAACTCACCCAAGAGATGTTCAAGAAACTTCATCCATACATATCATACGTCCATAAATTTGCCATACATTTGCCAAAGAAGGTAATGGAATTTATAGGGACCCCCAATGATGGGACCCCCATTCCTATACTATTCCCTTAATGTGGTAAACCATCCCCAAAAAGGTGAATTACCATTTTTATGGGTGGGTACAAACCATCCCCAAAACTTCAAAAGGTAGGTTTATTGTGTGAATTTATAACTTATTCATGATTTTCTCCTGTATAGATGATTTTCCCAGCTATTAACCTTGATTTGTGGATGATTTCCCTCCATTTATTGCCTGCCAACATTAACAGCTGAGAGAGACCCCCATGAAAATTGCCTTTATAGTCCCCATAAACCATCAAAATAGTCATATGAATCCTATCCCTTATGGAAGAAACACAGCAACTCAGCGCAGCCATGGCACCTGGCACGATGGATCCGATGGCACCTGCGACCAGCATCGGAGCGGTGTCAACACTGAAGCGACAACTGGCGGAGGAGCATCAGCGGCCAGCGTCGCTTGGTGCTGGTGGGCGGAAAACCATGTGGGTTTATCTGAGATACGGGAATTAAGCATCAAATTTTCGGAATTAGCCATCAACAAGGGAAATGATGCATCAAAGATGATATATGAACATGCATCTTGTGTCTAATTGGGATTCCTAAGAGTTGGGTTTGTCCGAAGATTCTGAAACAAAATTCCAACATGGCAAGTTATCCGATTTTGAGCTATACCCCGTTTCTGGACAAACACACATTTGACATTGATGTTTTTTGGGCCATGTGTCACCATTGATATTTACATACACATCCACGTGGCCAAACCAGGTGGCGCATTGACATTCTGCAAGATGGGCGTTGGTTGCCGTCCAATGCCACGGTGGATGCACATGGCCCGTTGCAAATGGCATTTCGGCAAAGCGAAAAAAGGTCCATCTCCATTGATGCGAAGCTAGTGAACGAGATTTCCTGCGATTCTGGTTGGTGTTTTCAGCCATCAGTTTTTTTAGAAGTGTTCGTTTCTGTGATGTTTGAAACAAAGCAGTTGTTAATTGATGGTTAGTGGGATATTAATGGTTTCTCTCATGTTTAATTGTTTTCACCCATCTTGGTTTGGCCAACCTAACTTTCTGAGAAAGAATTGGCTGCTCAGAAAGCTTGGGAAGGTGTTCTGATGAAAATCTTTCAGGGGCCCTCCAGGATTCTTTGAGAGAATCCTACATCCAAAATTTGCGAGAGGATTTGGGCCTCTTTGGCAGGACATTTTACCAGGAGCGGGTGATTTTGAAGATGGTTTTGGTTTCACTTTTGGTTTCACTTCCTGGTCTAGGCATAAACCAGGACTCACTTCTAGATCCATTCGCAAATGAGGTTTCTTGGGATATTATAGAATGTGTATAGAACTCACATTATAGGACTCACATTCTAGGCTTTCTTGGGATATTATGTGTACAGTTCTGCATGTGGAATTTGTATCGCGCGAGTCATTTTCACCAAGACTTCGGATCAACGTCACCGGAGGAGATTGGTCTGACAGTCACCGACTGGGGGTCCGGCATGCCTAGAGCCATCACCGCGCTGTTAGTGGAATTCCTGACGTCCAGGAGGGGGTGGAGCTGATGGACGAAATGGATGGTCAAAGATCACATCTACAGTAAGAAAATATCATAATTTAGGGTTGCTACAATGGTGATGTTATTGAGTTCATGGTATTTTTTTACCGATGAAGATCATATATACATAGAGAGATAGAGAGATAGAGATAGAAAGATAGAAAGATAGAAAGATAGACTCAGATAGACAGACAGGGAGAAAAAGAGACAAAAGACGAAAAAGAGAAAAGAGATAAAAAGAGTAAAACAACATGGTTGTTCAATGGTACAGCAATTAGTACCCATGCTATTCTAATTTGACCAACAAGCAGGGCCCTGGTGTCTCGGGAGCCTCCAGGAGGGATGATCCCAACATTCCATGCCTGGTACATTTGGATCTTCACGGTCAACTGGGAGAAGTGCTGGAGGCGATGATGCGAAATCGGGAATACTACGAGTTCCTGGGCCGGGCCGGTTATGGCCGGTTCTTTAATGTTGTTCAATGGTTTTTAATGGCAGTTGGGTGTTTAATGGTATGCTTACACCTCTTAAGAGTTTTAATGGCGGTCATTGATGGTTTTAGAGGTGGTTCAATGGTCAATTGTTGTTTCTTTTGGTGGTTTTTATGGGTTTATTAGTTGTACGGATTTTCCAGAATCTCCGTTGCAAAGTCGGAATGATTCATGTCCATGTCAGGCCCAAGAGATAACCATGGGGGAAGAACTCAGCCTTGGGGTGGCCCCTGAATCATCCACAAACCTATGACAGGTGTTCCGTTGTATGGAACGATTCTATAAAACAGTAAATTTGACGCATGTCCTATGACTATATACTGCATCTCTGTATATATATATATATATATATAGTATACTATGTCACCATGTTCATTTATTTTCCGGACGATGGCAACATCTTTACTTTGAGAAGACCATTGGCAGGACAGCAGTTGAGAAATGCTACCCTGGTTGATGGCCATGCAGGTACAGTACATTATGTCAGCATTTAGATAATTTTGGTATATGTTGGTCATGTGGGTGGTTTATACTAGAGATTGTTCCAGCCTCTTGGATCCTTAAATACTATAGATGGATTGATGGATAGGTTTTGGGGGGTGGCGGAAGAATCATTTGGCTCATACTCAATGTCCCTTCCTACCAGTCACACTGCAGCAAGCACTTGTCCCCAAAGACTCAGCCGTTGGGTTCTCAGACTCAGATGAATGGGACATGTCCAACAAACCCCGGCATAAAAGGGAATCATCCCCAAACAGCCTTATTTCAGTTATTTCTAGCTTGGTGAATGATAATGACTTAGCCAGATATCATCATATATCATCATATATCATCATATATCATCATATATCATCACATATATATATATATATCCCTCATATATTGGTGATATTCCCCATGATCTTCCTAATCTGATGGCGGCTGGTGATTTAAAAAAAGTCATCCGATGGGTGCGGGTTGAAGCCATCCAGGTCCATGGGAAGTTCACTGGAGACTCTGGAGCTCAGTTTGCAGGTGGATGGCCAGGCAGCGGTCGCCAGTTTCGTCCCAACAGTAGGGAGTACCCGCAACGGTGTCATCAAACATGGAGGATTAATGCTAGTGGTTCAATCTTATTTTTTGTATGGTTTTATATATGGTTTTATATGGTTTCCTAGGGATAAGAGTGGGATAGGAATAGAATTTCAATAGATTTGCAGTACCCTCTGGTAATCAAACATGGCTAGCTGGGAAATTCCCGAACTAAATGGAAGTTTCTAGCTGGGGAAATCAACGAACGAAATGGTGGATTTTCCAGCAAGCCACGTTTGATTGCCGGAGGGTACCTTCTGGTAATTTAATATGAGGACGAGGAAGAGTCCTAAGAATTTCATGGGAAAATGATGGATGGAATAAATCATCGATTTCTACGACTCGGATTTGGTCCATTCAGGTTACATCGAACTATGATGGGTGATTTTGGGGTTGGATTGAGCATGTCAACCGTTGATCTTTGTACTGTTTTCATTCTGAGGATTCAATTCCAACCGTCACCTCGACAAAACCAGTTTTTGATATTGGACAAAAGGCTCCCTTTCAAGTCTGTTGGTTCCCATCACCTTTGATACTGTGACCATGTAAAGGAAAGAAGAGGATGTCCTGGGGTCAAACTTGCGATTGATATTGGCTGGCAACCCTGCCACAACATGCCACAAACCAGGCGCTAGTCCTCCCGCTCTTCCCAAACCTCATTGCCTTGCGCATGTACAAGCCTGAATTCCCAGCTCGAGGGATGACAGACTACAGCATTCGCCTGCTCAACTTGAACTGCAGGACTGCAGGTAGTGCTAATTCATATCCACCCAAAGGTATGGACATATGAACCACCAACCATTGTTTAGATATGGTTTCAAAGTTTCAAACATCTATATGATCTATACAATTCTGTTCGTTTACTGATCTCCCATCCTACCTGCGATAATGATCAAAATTGTTTGGTGCATTTTTGAGATGGGTGGACCAACAACTTGATCATACATCGTTGTCAGGCGTTTTCCTTACGTATTTTCCCATTATTATCGTTCATCCATGTTTATCGCCCCCCTAAGGTAAAGGTGGCGCAACCACAGCCACGGCCCTTGGTACATGTTTTTATTTTCCCGGCCGTAAATGGAGGAATATCAAACCATATCCCCCTAGCCTTAGCTTTATTTGCAGAGTATCCAAACTGGGATGGAATGGCAATAACTATTGGGCATATTTGTGCATTCATGGGATATAGTGCGGGTATAATAGGGAGCAATGGAATGACTACCGGTTGTTGGTTTGACATATGTTGCATTCTCCTTCCTGGATTCCTGGGATTACGATCCCAGGATATTTGTCGCATATTTTGAAAAAAGCAGTGGCTCAAGCCACCGGCCAAGAAGGTTGGCCATTTTTGTTGCTACCCTCTGGTAAATTGACATAGCTATGGAAAATGACCAGTTTATGGATGATTATCTAATTATCTATCAATGATGGTGATTTTTTCAACGCCATGTTAAATTACCCAAGGGTAAGCCCATTTTTTGCAGGCCATACTCTTTAATAACTAAGGGTTTGCCATGGAAAATCGCCATGTTGATTAGCTAAATCATCAAAATAGATAGGCCGTTTTCCACAGCTTCCCTGTGTATATCTATATATACGTATATATATATGACTGGCGATTTAAAGGCCAGGGTTCCAACATGAGACCCCGGAACAGTTTTTTCTGAGTTAGCGAAAGTATTTTTTGGGGGGACGAAATTGACCGCAAAAATAACATGGGATTCGCGAAAGTGATTGTTTTATTCGCGAAGAATGACCGTTTGTAGATAAAGGAATTTAGATCAACCACCATATATATA